ATATATATATATATAGGCCTGTGGCAGATTTCATGTGAAATCTAAACAATGAAACTCATTAAACTTCAGAGAGAACCAAAAATAACAAGAGGGACAAACTTGAAAAAGAAGGGAGATAATTTGTTTAAACTCTAGATTAATACACTATTTAATGAGTTTTACATCAAACACTAGTGTGTAGAGGAACCAGAATTTCACCTACTTCATGGAATCATAGAGTTGGAAGAGACCTCAGGAGGCCATCTAATCCAACCTCCTGCTCAAAACAGGACCAACCACAACTAAATCATCCTGCTAGGGCTTTGTCAAGCCTGCTCTTAAAAACCTCAAAGGAAGGAAATTCTACCACCTCCCTAGGCAACCAATTCTAGAGCTTCACCATCCTCCTACTGAAATAGTTTTTCCTAAAATCCAGCCGAGCCCTCCCCATTGCTCCTTGTCCTGTCATCTGCCACAACTGATAACAGCTTGGTTTCATTCATTTGCTTTGGAACCCTCTTTCAGGTAATTTGAAGGCTCAGATCTTCCTCACTCATCTCTTTTGCAGACTGAATTAGCCCAGTTCCCTCAGCCTCTCGTCATAAATCCTGTGTTTCAGCCCCCTAAACATTTTCATTGTCCTCTGCTGGACTCGCTCCAATTTGTCCACATCCTTTCTGTAATATGGGGGCCCAAAACTGGATACGATTCTCCAGATGTGGCCTCACCAGTGCCAAATAGAAGAGAATAATCATGTCCGTTGATCTGCTGATACTGCTCCTAGTTATTGCAGCCCAATATGCCATTCACCTTCTTGGCAACAAGGGCACACTGTTGACTCATATCCAACTTCTCATCCGTGTAATTCCTAGGTCCTTTTCTGCAAAACTGCCATTTAGCCAGTCAGTCCCTAGCCTGTAGCTGTGCATGTGATTCTTTCATCCGTTTTGAAAATGCTTCATGGCAGCCCTGTACAAAAGTTCATTTTTTATCCTTCTAAAATTGTTAATTTTGTCTTTTTCTAAATGAGATTGATGCCTTCCAGCCAAAATGCTTTCATGTCTTTGTCAGCGGCGAGCAAGAAACGTCTTGCAGTATTTGAAGCAAAGTCTAATTATTTCTAGGTTAAAACTGCAACATTACTATTGTCTCTTCTTTGTACATTCAAATGGAAGCTACAATGGAAGAACTCAGATTGTTGATTTACAGGTCTTCAGAGATGGCATAGTGATCGATGGAAGAACTCAGATTGTTAAGGATGTTGATTTACAGGTCTTCAGAGATGGCATAGTGATCTGTAATATACTGCATCCTTGCTATATAGACCAGTCTGGGAAAAGACTGTGTTATAGGAATGTCACCATGTCTGTTTTGGTCCTCAGGTGAAAGTGATTTGGTGACTGGAGAATGATATTTTACTGATGGAAACAGAGCACATCCTCAACTATCCCTAAGCAATGGGCCAATGACATGGACTTGGAAAAAGCTGGTTGTCAAAAAAAAAAAAAAAAGTTGGATTTTCTAGCCTCACTGACAAATTAAAATAAGAGGTGGTGAAGACAAAAAAAAATATCTATTGAAACAGTATTTGAAAAACCAGGAAATGGACAAATGATCAGAACTTGATAGGATCTGGGCCTTCTAGGTTGAGCAAAGTTGTTACATTCTTGAGAAACTTTTTCTGTAAGAACTAAGACTGGAAAGGAATAGCACATCTCATTTGCAAAACTGGATATTTAATCCTGAGATAATTATTAACCATTATTTTGTCACTTAAGTCTAGCATTATGGAGACCTAAGCATAAATAAGGTTTGGTTGAACTTTTCCCTCAAAGGGTCCCATAGATTTTGGTGAAAATAACATTTCTGTCTGAAAGCTATGCATTTGAAATCCTTACAGATAAATGTAAGGTAGCTGTATCTGAGAGAAATTATCAGGAAAAAAATCTTTTCTCATGTTCTCTTATTTGTGTATTGACAGCACCTTGAATGTAGACAGTTTCCCTCTTTACATTCATTGTCAGTGAGAGATAAACTAACTAGGAAAGTACTTTGTCAACATCAACAGGGGAGCACAGAAACCCTTATAATAATTTTTTTAAAAAATTAATGACCTTGTTTTAAAGGATGCTTTATTGGAAAATGTTTTTAGTAAGTTAGGAGAAATGTAAAGGTGTCAGTTCCCCATTAAAGTTAAATGCAGAGCCCTTTATTTCATAGTATAGTGATTGACTTGAGTCTCCAAATTTAACAAAATTATTGTTCAGAGGATAAATGACAGTTTGGGTTTTTTAAATCTAACTTTTCCAGTGAAAAGTTTTGGAATTTTATGCCTGAGTCCCATGTCCTGTGGCCATGTTTGAAATTAAAGAGAAGGCGGCACCTGCCGTCATCAGAACCCCCTTTGAAAAGCTGAGAGATGTCCTGGAATCTGCCAAGTTCTCTCATGTGGTCTCCCGTGTACAGTCTTGCTCCCTGGCTTCATTTCTGATCCAAATCTCTTTGAAATGAGTCAGTCTCTCTCCATTGATTTCAGTTGAAGGTGGATTGGGACCACCACTGCAGGCAGCCCATCACCTTCAGTTTCTTACTGCTTTCTCCGGGCTCCTGCAGGGCCTTCTAATCTCTTGTGAACTTTGTAAGTGAGAGTTCTAGTTTGAGAGACTTGTTGAGATCTGTTGAAGTGATGCTCTTTCTAGAACACTAGAGGACATTCACTAGAAAGAGAAATTTCTGCTGTTGCAATGGGATCTGCTTGTCAGACAAATTTTCCTTCAAATCTCTTCCTGCCTTCTCCATATCTCCTGTTTCTGTAAAAGGCTGAAACATGATGGAAGGAGCCAAGGGGAGGGGAGGACTAGTACGCAAAGTTTCCTGACAAGCAGAACTTAATTAATTTAAACAGCTTTGTCAGACAAGGACTCATGTTGGCAGTCTCCTACCAGATACACAGAAAGCTAGCAGAGTGGGGAGAAACTGAGTTTGTGGAGAAGAAAGTATGGTGTGGGGATAAGCAGGATTTGAGCCGGCGTTTCATGAGTGGCTGTAGAGGAGCAGAATCTGCCATCCTGGCTCTATAGGCCTGTTTCCTGTTCCTGTCTAGCTTCACTGTTCAGTCCAACTGTGACAGCTTCTAGTTTGGGCGCGAGCGAGTAACCCTCTCATGCCGGGGTTACGGCCCTGAGAGCCCACGTACGTAAAGGTTCCAGTGCGTACTGCTCGGTGGAATCAAGGAAGTGAGGGAGGGCGAATGGGGGGCTAAGGGAACCTGGGCCCTCCCTCTCCACCGGGTCCCAGCCCGGGGCCCTAAGGGTTTGGATCTTTAGCCCTCACCCGGCTGACGGGGACCCACCCCGTAACGCGTCAGCCCACGAGCGCCAGTACGGCCCTGCCCCAGGCTGCTTCCTAGCCTCCCCCAAGCTCCGATGGGATCGTGGCCCCTCAGCCCTTACCTCTCCGCCGGTGGCCTGTCTCCGTCCTCCTCCGGTGTCTGGGCCTTGCTCCTCAGCCGGGGGGGAGGGCTCATCCTCCAGGCATCCTTCCCCCCCCCTTCTGGTCCCGGCCCCAGGTTTAAATAACCCACCGGGGTTTGCGTCCCCGACGTCCGCCCCGCCCCTGGCATTGATGTCCCTCCTGTGTCACGACGTAGGAGGCGGGGCTGCGTCCCGGCTTCCCCCACCCCCAGCATGCTCGGGTTTGTCGGCGCGGCCGGGAAACGCCGCCTGCTCCTGCCCTGCGCTGGGTGCAGGGAACGCGGCATCCCAGCAGGGACTCCGTGGGGGCGCGTCTCTTGGGTTCTCTGGGGGGGTCCTGGCTGCGGCCCTCCCCCCAAGTGCGGGCCGGGGTCAGACCGTCACACCAACTAATCAGGAGTTTGACCAGCTAGGCCAGGGGTGGGCAAAAGGGCCTCCGCAAGCCAGATTTGGCCCGCCAAGCAGGTTGATCCAGCCTGCGGAGACTGCCACTCCCCCAACCCCAGGCAAATTAGGGCCTAATGTCGGGAGTGTGCTGCACCACGCCGTGCTGGAGGGCAGAGATCAAGAAACTTGGTGTGTTCCTCCCCGCCCCCAGGCCAATCAGGGCCTGGGGCCAGAGAAGTGCACAAAATTTCCTCAAGGAGCGCGTGATGCTTAGAAGCCTAATTGGCCTGTGGGCGAGGGGGAGTGCATGAAGTCTCCTCTCACCCGGGAAGGGGCTTAGCACTTAAAGTCAACCACCACCTGCTGCTGAGCTGGCGGTTGACTCTAAGCACAGCGCTTCCTTTCAGGGTGCAGGCAGGGAGCGAGAGACTTCGTGTGCTCCACATCCCCCAGGCCCTAATTGATCGGGGGCAGGGAGGAAGCATACAAAGTCTCCTCCCACCAACAGGGGCATGGGTGCCTAGAGGTGGTTCTCTGGGAAGAGGCGGGGGCAAAGACTTTGCACACTCTCCCCACCCCCCGATCAATCAGGGTCTGTCCTTCTGTCGGAGGTCCCACCCCTTCCGGGGCAGCCCAGGTCCACTTCAAACATCTCTGAAGTGGTCCCTAGTCAAAAATTATCGCCCACCCCTGAGCTACGTAGTATGTTGCCAGACTTATCACAGACCCCAGTGGTAGGCTTACTCTGGCTTTCCCTGTGCCCCCTATGGACCCAAAAAGAGCAAAATTGCAGGCAAAGGTTCATTAGAAGCCTAATTTGTAACTCCTACTTTCCTATGGCTTGGCAGGAGAAGGCTACAAAAGAGAGGGACAGAGCTGAAAGGAATGGGGGATGTGTGCTTTCCATCTTAAACCTGAAGATGTTAAGCTGTTACACAATCTCAATATGAAAAAAATATTTTCATTCAATCACTTTCTTCCCATAATTCATTGAGCTAGAATTCCATCCTGTCTGTACAGACACACAAAGTTCTGCATCATGAGATCCATTATGGTGGAAGTCTCTACTGCCATGCACCTTACAAAATCATTGATAGCAGAGCTGCCCTTTTGCTTGAGCTTTATACATTAATCCCCGTTAAACTTCTGTTGCTGTTTAAAAGCCAGAGAAATTTCCAAACAAAAAAAGTTCTATATCTTATACTTGGGAGAACTATAGAAACAACATATGCTGCAGTATGCACACAAAGGGGAGCCAACAGGCTTGCTGAGCCTTGGGCAAAGTTGGGGGGGTGCGGCTCTGTGCTCCTGGAAGTGGCAGAGCTGGGGACAGCCAGCCCATAACACTTCCTGGAGTGTGCCCTGCCACATTCCCCTCACCTGGAGCTGCCTGGAGCATACCACGTGGAGCTTAGGTAGTGATTTAAAGGGCTTGAGGATCTAGCCACTGCTGCAGTAACAGCTTCTTGTCCTGTTATCAGAGGTTAAGTAACATAATTTTTTCCCCTTCTCTTTATAACAGTCTTTTAGGCACTTGAAAGCTGTTGTCATGTCCCCTCTTAGACTAAGCAAACTCAATTTTTCAGTCTTGCCTCATAGGTGATGCCTGCTTCTGCCCCATCTGTGTACCCTTGAGACTCCACACCCTCTACCCTAGAGAAGGGATCTTAGAATCAAGAAAGGCAGTGGGGATAGGCCAATAATGTACTGAAGCAGAACAGAAGAAATGTCTGACAGCAGCCATTTTAAATATCCTGATCTGGTTTCAATAATTCATACAAAGACTTAATGTATAATTGATTACAGGTACGTCTCTGCTGCTCATTGAAATTAGGAACAGGATAATAAAAATATTTCTAATATTCTTCTTTTATGATTTTGCTTTTAGACCAACAGTGGCTTATTAATGAGAAAAAACAATTGGCTTCCCTCCAGCAAAAGCAGAGGGAGTTTGCTGTACAAACAGAGTCTAAGTCATATGCAGAAGCTGAAGTGCAGAATACTGGAGAATTGGAGATTTGCCCATCCCCAGTAGAGAAGAACAGGAAGAGACTGGTACAGCTGGAACTTTTGCGGAGATATTCTTTAAAGAAAGCAGAAAGAAACATAAGACGGAAAAAGGTAAAGTTTCAGTTGGAGAGGATTGTCAAGAAGCAAAAATTACTGGAAGCCAAGAGAAACCTAGAACAGCTAGAGGCCAGCTTCTGGCTTAGTGAGGATAACTTGAAACAGTCCCAAGTCCTGAACCAGAATACCACAATTACCTCCTGGGAGCACAAGTTGCAAAGGAGAAGCAAGTCATTGGGTTCAAGTTCCTTGCAACACAGAAGACATTCTTTCTGTAATCTTTACCCACCACATGTACCCATTTACAGGTTAGTAATTTTTCATATTTGTTCCAAGTTTAAAAAACATTTGGTGCCCTAATATCAAGTGGCTTACTAAAAAAAGTTTATAAGAGTATATTAAGTCAAACTTTGCGTAAGTCAAAGCCCTGCCCCATCTTCCATAAAAGTAGTTCCACCATTCTCATTTCCCTTTAAGTCACCAGTCTCATTGTATGATACATTTTCAGACTGTTAGTCCTTGCTTTCAAGACACTGCTCCCCTGCCTAAATCTTTGACCTAGTCTCCTCTTTTACATTCTTCTTGCCTCCCTGATACGCTATTCACTGGCTCTCACTTGTCTCTAAGTTGGAATCCCTTTCGTAGATTCTTGGTCAAATCTCCATTTTTGCCTGATTCAAACCACTCCTAAAAACTCACTTCTGTAGCATCACCTTGAAAGATAAGCAGGATACCCTTAATCTCTCCTTAAACACCTCCTTTAATACACTCACAACATTTAGACTACTAAAATATATATATCCTTTAGAGTATATATACATATACAATCTGATAGTACTTATAACCCTGCACCATACCTTTTTTGTTGATATCACTTGATTGAGAAGTCCCTCACTAGACTGCTCTTGAGTTCAGGAACTTGTCTTCTGTTTGTTTTCCTAGAAAGCACCCAACACTCTTGTGGGCATTTTTAAATAATTTATAACAGCAGCAGCATTGCTTCTTGTCTGTCACTGACTGAAGTCCTGGATCTGGCTCAGACTTTGCCACTGGCCAGCCATCACTAAACTAGCTGGGAATCTCCTCAGAGAGCTCTCTTAAATTTAAAAACTTTAAGGCAAGAGTAAGGGGCATGACTAGACTTGTAATAAGCCGATTTCAGTGACTCAGGGTTGTATAGAGACTAATAGTGATTACAGCTACCGAGTCTCTCTGAGCCAAGGACATAATACATACGTATATATTCATGCAGTATATGAAAGTCTCTCATTTTTGTCTTGGATTATTTTCACAGCTCTTTATTGAAGAGGGAGACGACCTCCGAATTATCTACCTCAACAAATACCTGTAAATGCCATGAAGGCAATTCACCATGGAAAACACTGTCTCTAGAATATCTACCCAGAACAATTAAAGACAATTCCAGGAGAGATGACCTTAATGACAAGAGGTGTAGTTCCTTCCCATCACAGAGACAGCTAACTAAAAAACAAAAGCCCTCACAGTTTGGAAATAAAAAGGGATCAGAAAAAGACTATAATGGTCCAGTTATCATATTACATAACAACGATAATCAAGAAATGGAAAAATTAGATGATAGACCAGTACAAACTGAACCTCAAAGCCAGACTTCTAACAGCCTCTCTCCTGATCACTATAAGAAGAAAGATGAACTCGAAACCTGTGTTACAGGTGCACAGGTGACCAAAGTGAGGATATTAGGAGAGTCAAGTCACCCTATAGAGAGACAGATAGAAGAAAGTGAATCCCAGGCAGCTCATAAAAAGTCTAAAATAGATTTAAGAGGAGACCACCAAGATTCACTTCCAGAAAGCTTTACCGAGGATGTAAAAAAATCAATAGCGTGTGGAAAGCCACCATCAGGTTGTCTAAGTCAAACAGCGAGGAACTTGAAAAGAGAGCCAAAGATATATTTGCCAAGTCGTGACAGGCAGTCAATGGAAAAGCAGGAGTTTCTGATGACAGCTACTTCAGTAGGAAACCTTAATAAGATAAACATCCAGACACCACTCCGTTACATGGAAAAAAAGTGGCACAGTGCAGAGGTGTTGAGTGTCGGAATCTCAAATGCAACCACAGATCTGCTAGGGAACTGGCAAGAGGATGATGAAAATGACTTTTCGGATACTGATAGTTCCTACTCTGTGGATTCTCTCTCCTGTGCTTATGCAAAAGCCTTGACCGAACAACTGAAACAGGCAGATTCAGACAGGAATAAATGTATCACTAATCCAGAAGATTCTGAAAGCGATGATAGTCAAATGTCTCAAGACTCGCTGCTAGAAAAAGAAAATAAAGTGAAAAAACAAAGTAAAAAACATTTTCATAGGTTAATGGTTCACCAAGAGCCAGTTAAGTTTTACAAAGACAGATCTGATCACCATGTCTCACCTTTAGTGACCTCTTCCACATCACGGAATGGATTGACAAAAACTGAAAGGAGCTTTTCCCTGGATAGCTTAGCAGATGCAGAAGAGGTGTTAGCAGAAGATCTTGTAGATGAACCCAAATCTGATTCATCTGATGAAGTGCCTGCAGAGATATTTTGGAGGCTGCAGAGTCCTAGGTCTACAGCCATACAGACTGAAGAATACCAGAAACCTGGAGCCTATGATAGAGATATAAAAGGAACAAATTGTGATCTAATGCAAAGCAGCTCTTTTTATCTGGGAACTGAAACACAGTCCACTTGCAGTAATACTTACAAACAGCCATTGAAGGAGATGAAAGTTTGTTTTGTAGAACAAAAAGGGTCTCTTCATCAAAGAGTTAATTCTAGAGATGGAAACACTTTGCCTCGCACTGATGCTTTGTCTTCATATAACTCAAAAAGTGAAAATGGCAGCCCTGGAATAGCTGTACCTTCTTTTCCTGAAAGTTTGAAATTTCGTGGTGCTCATCAGAGCAAACTGGAATGCTGGATGAAGAAAGATGACTTAAAGCAGTCAGCTGCTGAAGTGTCTTTTGTCTCTGGCTATAAGCAGTTACATAGTATTTCTCATTTATCACAGGGTGTAAATGAGATAAACGCAACTTTCTCCTCTGATGGATCAGAAATACCATTACCAGAAACAACACATTTTGAGATGGTTGCAAACAAAGCTCCTGAGAATGGATCTTTATTAAGTAAGATGGTTAAAGAGAATGAAGATTCTGTTTTAGAATCTCCAGATGTTAGATCATTGTTTGTCAGTTCAGTAGGGCCAAGTACTTCATGTGTCCCGATTTCAGCATTTTCAGCAAAACATAGTTATTATGAAGGAGTAAAGTCAGCTCATCCTAAATACAAACAGCTTAATATATCATCTACTTATGGATCTACTCTTGTATACACACAGCAATATAGCTATTTGAAAAAAGCCTCCATGACAGATGGTTTACCACCATTGTCTGGAAAGGCAGAGGTCTCTCTCCCCACAACTTATCCTGCACTGCCCAAGAATCAGGACTCTAAAAAAAAATCATTCATTTCAACACCATCTATGTATGTTTTACAGCAGAGAAAAGATCATGAAGATTCTGATTTAGAAGATAGCTTATTTAGAACTATTGAAAAAGAAGACACGGATAATGACACTGATAGTTTGATAACAGAATCCAAAACAGTAGATTCAAACACTAGAGATGCATCTGTCAATTCAGCTGGATTGTCTAGAGGGCTGTCTCCTGATACAGCTTTAATATCCACAGTAGAAACATCTTCAGTAAAACAGGCCAGCTGTTTTGCAAAGGAAGGAATATCAAATTTCTGTGATCAGGGTTTCTCTCTAAGTGATCTGTCAAATGAGAATAGGAACCCTGGTACAAAGGAAAGTTATACACTTAAGACTTCTGTTGAACAAGGAGAAAATTCTGCTGATAAACTAGGTCTCCTCAATTACAGAGGGAATAATTTTGAACCAATGCAGAAGGTGGATCACCATGAGATGTCTGCAGGAGAAATAACCGGAGACAAAGATTTTTCTTCTGAAATAAAATCCTATGGCACGGATCCTTCAGCCATTCCCCGGGATGCTTGTTATGACCAATTTTCAATACTAGTAGACACTTCTCAGAAAGATATAGTCTCTATGACAACAAGTAGAGACTTCCTAACAGAAACTGCATTGGGGGGCCCTTCATTGAGAGATACTGAAGAATATGAACAGAAGTATGAAGATCTCTGTTCACAAAATAGTTGTCAATTTGAAAATGAAATGGTTTTGAAGAATGATTGCCTTGAAAGGATACAGGTGGATAATCCTGAAAGTTGTTCATCCCTACAGGTTTTGGGAAATACTTCATTATGTCTTGAGACTATAAGAAACGAAAGCAGTGAAAGAAAAGAATGTAATTTGAGTTCACACCCTGTAGGCCAGGAAAGGTCTTCGTCCAAATATAGAAATCTGGTGGTAGATGAATTAAGATATCTTAATGAGAATTTAAGCGGAAAAAACACTCACTTCTCAACTGCTGCTGCTACTTGTGAAATTAGAGATGAATCCAACTCTCACAAATTGTACTTTGACACAGTAAAAACTAATCTTTTTCTAAGCAGTTCTGAAACTGAGAAATATAATACAAAACTGCAAGGTTTTACAGCAGTTAATGAAATTTGTGACACCGGATCTAATGTCAGTATAGAAAACAATGTCCAAAAAAGTTGTTGTTCTGGAATAAATTCTAACTGCCTCTGCACAATGTGCTGCTTAAAATCTGAAGAGCAGAAAAGCAAGATGCATAAAAAGACTAAAGTTACTGTAGGATCTGATGATGCACAGACCAAGAACAAATCCTTTCCTGAATCAAGAGAAGAGAATAAAACTGCTTTTTCTTGTATGGTTCATAGAGAAAGTGATTTCTTAGGACAGGTTTTGCTTGTTGGAGGAACTAGTAATTACATAAAAACAGACTCTGGAAAAGTGTTTGAACACAATACAATTCCATCAGACATGACTTTCCAAGAAGGGAGTCCATGTGTGAATAAAAAGCCTGAATGCACAAAGACGAAAGCTAATACTGAAGATGAAATTATCGCACAAGAGACATGGGATCCTTATCAGAGTAAAAAAATAAACACTACTGAAGAAATTGCTAAACTGGTTAACAGTGTCATCAAGTTGGAAAGCAATATTTTGGAAATTAAATCTAAGAAAACTGAAGCCTTGCATAATTACTCAGTAGTTGATGCACAATGTGATATGGCACAAAGGAGCAGAAATAATTTTGAAAGCAATAGTCTGATTCAGAGATCAAAAGATCCCAGCGACTCTGTAGCTTGCACAGATCACCACCAGTTTTACACAAAGTTGCACACAACTCTACAGCATGAAAAAGCAGAGAAAAAGGAGTCAGGTGTGTTTAGTGTTGATGCAGGACACACTGATGAATCAAAAATAATGGAGCGTTCTGACGGCTGTATTCAAACAAGTAGCTTTCAGCAAAAGAAAAGAAAAGCAGACACAGAAATAAATTATTGTTCAGCAGAGACGGAAGCTGCTTCCAAAAGCACTCCATCATCAGTGTGTTCCAGCTCATCAGATTTCTCTGAGAATACTAACAGAATAATGGAAAACATTCTGAATACTGAAAGCACAGCCAGAATAATACCAGTTAGATGTGGGGACAAGAATTCTTTAGAAAAGAGTGAAAAAGAACTAAACAACATTTCTAGCAATACAAGTGAAATTTGTATAACCCAATGCTTGGTGATGGCCCATAACAACTTTTTTCAAGAAAACAAAATTGATGGATGCAAAATGATTGGGAGTGAGGAAAAAACTAATGTAGAAGATGATATGTTGGTTTGCACAGGGAGTGGTGAACAGCATACAGATGAAAATGTTTTATTTAAACAAGAGACTCCAGCTCTAGATCATCTGTATCGTGACAGAGACGACAGTGAAAAAGTTATAAATAAATCTGAGATCTCAGAAAAATACTTTACAGCTTCCAAACTAGAAGAACAAGATGTTTTGTCAATTGATACTTTAAGGTTACCAGCAGGTTGCCAGGATTCAATTGAAAAGAATGACATGACGGATATAGTGAATACATCGGAGGGAGGCATCAGTAACTGTGACAGTTCAGTTGATGATGATGGAGTAATTGAGCAATGTGTAATCAGAGGAGACTCTAGAAGACTTACTAAAGAGAATAGCAATACAAATAGGAGTTCTCATACTGACCACCCCAAGTATGGGGTGTCTGAAGATGTGGGTATACCTTTTATTGGAAGCATATCTAGTCATGTTGAATCTGTTCCAAAGTGCTCCACAGCAGAAGAGAAGAAAACACATCTCATAAATCCAGTACAAATGGCTAAAACAGATGCAATAAATGAAAGCGTGAAAATAGATAATGCATCTGTTTTTAAAACTGATAAAGAAATGAAGGCTTTCAAAGAAAACACTGAGGGTCAGGAGCTGACTGCTTCACAAAATCAAAATGAAGTTCCACCTGAAAACAAAGGCAGCTGCCAACTGACAAATAATGAGCTAAATGAGATCTTAAAAGAAAGTAATTGGGTACCTAAAGGTCATTCTAGAAGTGATGATGCCAATGATTCTGTAGTATCTAATAACCAAGAGCATACACTAGAAACTGTACAGTCTTCTGAAGAAATTCAGCAGTCTTTGCTTAAGGTCTTCCCGTGTCAATCTGTAAATCATCCTGTGTACTTTGGAATAAGTAACAGTGCAGAAATTGTGCAGGAGGATCTCAGTGTGTTAAAAGGACAGGAAAAGATATTTAATAGCAATGCTGGTGCTGGAGTTATTCTTCCTTACTATGAAACATTAATGGAAAATGATGTGCAGGTAGGAGCATCCAGTACACTTAACAAAGAGAGAAGAGATGAATCATTTTCTGATAAAGTGCAGAATAAAAACAGTGCTTTGCTACAAAACATGATTATGCAGGACAAGGAGGAGGATGGACACTTTGCTGTATCTGGGCAATTTCCTTATAACGATGACACACACTCTACTTCATATATTGCAGAGTGTCATGAATCTGTAATTGTTGCACCTAGTTATGATACAAAAAATAATTCAGTTTCCCTGGGAAGGTTAGATTTTTATGCAGAGCACAGCACATGCTTAAGTGTGGGGGAGGAAACAAAAGTTTGTTTAAATTCCTTAGAAGGTATAGTACAAGAAGGAAGCAGGGCTGCATCAGTGTCTGTGTCTGCTCCAATGACTTCAGATAATGAAAATCTTTCCTCATCAATGCTGAAAGATAATGATATGAGAGAAAAAATAAAGCAGTCATTACCAGAGGTCTTGTCTGAGAGAGTGTTTCAAAATATGAATACAAGTCAGAAAGAACTAGGACAATGCAATCAGACAAAGACATTTTCAACTGCAGACTATATTAAAACGGACTCCAGAAGTAATAGTGAAAAGATTCCTGGTGTAATTGGATATCAACCTGAACCCAGTGAGATTCAGGCATACAGGGTTTCTAGAGAGTTCTGTGTGGAATATGAAGACAATCCTGAAGTTGCTTCTGAAAACAAAACGGCCCTCTACAAAACTACTCATCAACCCTTGTGGGAAAAAGCTCATCATGATGAAGTCTCTGCCAAACATAATATGAATTCTTGCATTTCTCAGTATTCTGCTGGTCTGCTGAAGAGTAGTCCTTTTACATTTGCAGATGTTTTGTTAGACAGCAGAGAAGACAAATGGAAAATTGATACTGTTTGTTTTGGAAAAACAAAATACTGTGAAAATGAACCAGAAGATTTGGATGTACCTATACAGAGGGATCATCAGAAACAAGTAAATCAAGAAAATGATGATGAAAGCAAAACTTATTCTGGAGTTGGCAAGAGAGAGAAGAGAGAGACACAGCATGATGAAATCACCAAAGAGGTTATGGGAGTAGATCAAAACCAAAAACAAAGTCAAGATTCTTTCCAGAATTGCCATGGAATAAAAGAAAAAAATTGTGTACACTCAGAGGACTATATTGGTAGTTCTAGCATGAAAATGCCAGAAATAAGCTTGCTTACACATCAAAGTCTTGAACAAATTAGCAATAAGGAAACAAAACCTCCTCCCTCACACACTGTGGAGGATGTTCCAGCTTATACAATATTTCAAAGTTCCAACAATCTTAGTACCTTTGAAACCTCCAATTCTCCAGAAGACTCAAAATCTTTGAAATTTAAGCAGCTAGGTGATTCAGTGCAAGACATTTCTTTGACTGACCAGTTGTTGTCATCTACTTTTACAAATCCATATTCTCTAAAAGAAAGACAAGAGAGAGAGTTTCCTCAAGCTTTTCCAAAAGTTTCTTACCCATCATTAAAAATGTTTTCAGAATACCCTCTTACAGCTTCAAACTGTTCTGCATTTGCTATAGTGCAAATGCAAGAGAGTCAATCTGACGAGGTTGTGATGTTTGACCAGCAGCCATCCGCTTCAAGAAGTATTCTCCTTTCTGTTACAAAAGAAAAGGGACATTTTCCAATAGCTGATTCCTCTGATCAACTCAACAATGAAACACAAGTTGATAAACAACCCTGGGGTAAAGCTTCACTACAACAAGCATTTTTAGAAAATTTACACAATGATGTTTCTATACCATCATCATTAGCTTTTCCAAGAGCAACTCTTACTAAAGGAGAAAATACGAAAGAGAGAATTAGCAGAAATGAGAACGAATTGCATTTAAACACCGAGAAAACCCTTCCTTCACCACACAGGAAACAGAGAAGACATTTTTTAAGAAAAGATCATATTGAAAATCAAACCATGGCACCATCAGTTTTTGCCAGTGAGTTCATGGACCCACAAATTACTATAGCACAAAACTTGTGTTCAGGAAATAATGTGGATTCCAGGTACATGTACAATCCATATAGGCAAGTATGTCCCACAGATAAAATTACTGCTGATCCCAAAGAAATGTATCCTACTGCCTCAGATTTTGATATAAATTCCCATGCAGATTTACAAGACAGTCTGCAGGCTGGACATGCCAGGGAAGAAGATCAATGTAGAGCAAATGTAAGAAGTGGAAAAGATATGATACATTGCAAAAATAATTCATGTTCAAGTGTTGATAGCTCTCACAATTATCAGAAGGTGGAAAATAATATAATTAAGCAAAAGACTTCAAAATCTGTCATGAAACATGAGAACACGTCCTTCAAAATGTTGCCAGAAAACAGTTGTCTGCCTCCACAAGAACCCAAGTTGGTATTACTTAGGAATGAAAAATCATACTTTCCAACACAAAATGCAAAGCAGTGCAAACAAGATGAACAAAGACATTGTTTACAGAATCACAGATTGTCAGCCCCAGCTATTTCTGCACACTCTGATCTTGAATACACTTCAGAAGTTTCATCTAAGACCCATCTTTCTTTGTATCCTTCCTCTAAATCTTTACAAGAATTGAATATGAGTGTTGAGCCTCCGTCTCCAACTGAAGATGATCTGCATGGAATTGAAAGATTTTCAAAATTGGAGTCAGATAATTTTGCACTGTCGAAATATAAACCCAGATTTCAGCAGAGATTGGTACAAACTCCAAGATTTGCTAAATATGATCCAAAGAACTCACAAAATTGTGGGGAGAGAAGCCAAGGCAACCACTCCGTAGATCCCTCTGCTGTTCACTGTTCAACTACTTTGATACATAGAACTGGTCATTCCATAAATATGGAAGCAAAAAAATATTCAAACAATGCATCTTTACCACAGTGCAATGAAGAGACAACTGAAGAACTGAGATATCAACCAGAAGAAACAGATTTATTTTTACAGGACAATAAAGATGCAATGCATTTTAGTTCAAGTGATATCAATCCATACATTCATCCATGGCAGCAAGAGGGACCCTGCAAGATTGGTTGGAAGCAATATGTTTTTGGTAGTGCGAGTGATGTCTCTTGCAGTCAGCCTTCTCAAAGCCTGGATAATCATAAAGTTATGAGATGCTCTAGTGTAGATAATGGACTAAACTCTCAAAACTCCCCTTTTCACTCTCATCTCAGTTCGTATGCTAATGCAAAAGTACTATCAAGCACTTTAAGCAGCATTGAAGACCCCCAAGGATGGGATGATGTGAGACATGGCTTTGAGTCTTCAAATGACAACAGCAAGCATTATATAAATGTATCCCGTGAGGTACTTGAAACCAACCCCGAAAACAGAATTTCAAAATTTGATAATCCTTCTGAACAACCTGAAAACACTTCCATGCAAGTTGATGAAATTGTACTCCTCTATCCCTCTGAGTCAGAAACAGTCTCCAAAAAACCACAAAGCATTACTTGTGAGCAGGGAACACAAACAATGGTTACAGGAAGGTATAAAAGACAGAAAAGGCACCGGAGAAGCTATACAGATGTTGCTGCAAGAAAACAAGATCCAAGCAGGACTTCATTTCAGAGACCTTCTTCTTGGGCAAGCATGCAGAACCTGTCCGTGCACCTATCACAGCTTCTTCATAACACTTCTGAGCTGCTGGGAAACCTCTCCCAACAGAATGTCATAGAGAACGAGCATGATGCCAAAATCAATCAAAGAGGAATTGCTGATGAGATTGTAAGGGCTGCTATGTCAGACAGTTGTACCCAAACTACAGGGGCCACAGGCATTCAAGCTGATATTTCAGAACATCGACAAAGCAAAAACAAGAAAACCCTATTCCAGGCAAAAACTGAAAATGAACTGATGAAAGCTCAGAAAGTGAATGTGATTGTGAAAGTAGTAGGTTCAGATGTTGTATGTAGGCCTCAGGAAAAGAAAGACATAGGTTTGGCTATTGAAGAGAGAGCTCCAGAAAGCATTGGAATGAGAATGCAGAGCCTTCCTGACTTAAATGACTCTGCCGATGATATTTTGGGAGATTCCTTTATGCATCTCCCTTCGTTAGCCAGAGCCTCCACTCCTATCTCAGATTTAAAAAAAACACCATTCAGTGCACAGGAGAACATTGCTTTTGGCAGTACCACAGTTTCTCCTGTTGTGTCATCTTCACTGAGTTCAGGACAAGATGAATCTTCATGCATGATAGTTAGCCACTCTACTTCTAATTCATCTCGGTCTCCAGCACATTATACTCGGGAAAAGAGAACTGTTGATGAGTCTGATACTGCAGGAGAAAGGAAACTGTGTTATAAAAACACATTAGTTGACAGAGCGTCTTCCCCTATTCTAACACTTAGTGCAAATCCAAGCAGCCAGGTTACGAGTAGCAAGTCCATTTGTTCTATCAAGAGGTCTGTGAAACATCCTAATGATACTTCAAGTTCCCGCTGTAATCAAAGAAAACAAGGATCACATTCATGTTCTGGCTTGGGCACCTTGGAGCTTCATGTTGACAATTCTTCACAAACAGAAACGGACAATGAATCTACAACTTCTGGAGATAACAAGGAAGTGACCAAGAAATCTGGAAGTTTCTTAAATAAGAACATGGCTAAAGAATTCTTAGGAGGAGGTGTTTCAGAAAAATCAAAGGAAAAGCACAGATTCAGTGTTGATGGACACACTGCTATTCATGCAAAAAGACTGTATCATTCAAGTAGCACTTTAGAGGTTTCAGGCCATGGGGAATATTTAGTTGATGATCTCAACGAGCGCATACCAATGGAACGTTCACTACATTGTATGTATGTCACCAGAAGAGGAAGAGGTTCTTCAGGAAGAGTCAGATGTGACAAAACCACCGGAAGTTCTGATGATGCCTCTTTGATTAAAAACCACTCTCAAGCTTCTTATGTTGAGGAATGTAAACATTCACCTTCAAATTCTGACTTGCTTTTTAATCAGGAAATTAGCACATGTTGGTCAAGCAAGACAAATGCTGATGGATCTCCAGAACAACTGATAGAAGCCTCTTCTGCACAGTTTCACCGCTCCTTTTGGAAAAATCAAAATAGCTGCCCTTTTCCACTTTCTAAAATGAGTGATATGCATTTACCCCTTCAAGACGATGATACAGCATCGGCTTCTACAAGTGAATGTAATACTGAAATTTTACTAAATGAGAATGCCTCCTTAGTGAAGATCCATAGGCCACCAAGCTATAGTCTTCAGGACTTGCCCATACATAATAAATTTAGCAATTGGTGTGGAGTAAAGGGCAGTCCTTCGTCCTCAACAATTAGCTTGACTGGTAGTGCTGCTGATTTGCAAAATCAAATGCAAAAGAAGCCAACCAGCAAACGAGCAACTGAAACAGAAGAGAAATCCCAGCCTTTGGAAAATAGAACAAGAGAAATTGAGAGACTTCGAAAAGAGCGTGCCCAGATTATGTCTGGGGTACATCTGGACATGAAGCAGCACCCTCTTACTGTGGAGCTTACTGAAGCAAAGCTGAATTATGGAATTGGGGAAACAGATGCATTACTGAGAATTCTTCAGAATGGAACAGGGGAGGATATAACTTCAGTTCCCATCAAGCAGCAACTCTATGAAAGGTAAATTACTTAAAATAGTTTTGTTGGAGTCTCGTGCATTTTGAATGGAATGCCAAATGTAGAAGTAGTGAACTTAATGGCAGGAGAGTTCTTTTATTAAGAGATCTTAACAGGAGAACAGAAAGGATTGTGTGAACAAGCGTAACATTAAGATTTTCTTACCTGTAGTAAATGACCTTGTTCTCGTAAATAGGCATATGAAGACAATCGAAGTCCTGAGAAAGCAGAGGGAAGAAAGGCTGCAGAGCTTTAGGAGAACTCGCAGTCTCAGTCCACAAAAGCAGCTGAGCCTGCTGCAGACACTGGACACAAACCAGCGGGATTTGGATCTCCCCAGCAGACGCCGAGAGTACCTGCAGCAACTAAGAAGAAATGTAGTAGAAAATACCAGGTAGGGACATGTAAACATCAGCTTTTGGAACCTGTACTGCCTTGTCTGCACATGCATCACTCCCATTTTGTTCATTAAGGTGTCCAGCAATCTTCCGATGGTAGAATGAACACACAGATTCCCCCTAGGAATGCCAAAAGTAGAAGTGGTGACCTTTGGGACAGGAAAGTTGTTTATTATTATTGTTCCATTCAAGGCAATCACATTCTGTACATGTGTTGGTCAGTGTGATTTCCCTTTCAAACTATTAACCTACACAAGATTCTTGTGAGTTAAGGAGAACTATGGTTCCCCTCTTCAAAGGAGAATGCCTCATAGTTCGTGTCTACATAGTTCTAATTCACAGTCTAAAGTAGTAAACAGTAGACTTATTTTTGCATATGTTCAATGTTTAGCAAAAGACTTTCTTAAAAGAAAAAACATGTTTCCATCCCATTTTTTATAAATTACTCACCAACTTCTCCTTTCACTCACCTCCCAAAAAACCAGGGAAGAAAGATGGCTTTGCATTATGCTCCAAATATCAATAAACTTGGGTGCTGTCAGAGCAGGGGGGAAATTGAATTCCAGAGTCTAAGGGCTCTCTACTGAGAACCTTAGACCCAATGGCTGTGTCTACATTGGCACCCCTTTCCGGAAAAGGGATGCTAATGAGACCAGTCGGAATTGCAAAGGCCGCGGGGGATTTAAATCCCCCGCGGCATTTGCATGAACATGGCTGCCGCTTTTTTCCGGCTCGGGGTTTTGCCGGAGAAAAGCGCCAGTCTAGACGGGATCTTGCGGAAAATAAAGCCTTTTCCGGAAGATCCCTTATTCCTACGATCCCTACAAATAAGGGATCTTCCGGAAAAGGTTTTATTTTCCGCAAGATCCCGTCTAGACTGGCGCTTTTCTCCGGCAAAACCCCGAGCCGGAAAAAAGCGGCAGCCATGTTCATGCAAATGCCGCGGGGGGGGTTTAAATCCCCCGCGGCCTTTGCAATTCCGACTGGTCTCATTAGCATCCCTTTTCCGGAAAGGGGTGCCAATGTAGACACAGCCAACCTGTTTGAATTTAGAGACTGCCCTGGCTTTGCTGTCTGGTGTAGATAGGGAAGTAGGCTAATAGATCATTCAGACCAGTTTAACTGAGCTTAATAGAGCAAAAGCAGCACCTTAAGTTGATCCTATATGTTAATACAGCAGTTCCCAACCTTTTCCAGATGGGGACCCATTTTGACAATTCAGGAAGATTTGGTGACCCAAGGCAATTCAAAAACTGGGGGGAGGGGTGGGCACAGAGCCACCTGAGGAGACACTTGGCAACCCTTCTGAAATGTAATGGTGACCCATATTTGGGTCCCGACCCATAGGTTGGGAAACCCTGTGTTAATAGGATGTCACAGAGGTGTCAGTATTCTGTGATAAATACTAGACATGTACCCTGAATCCAATTTCCAAACCTAATGGATGTGAGGTCAGCCAGGGCAGTCTCCAAATTCAAACAAGTTGGCCTAGGGTTAGCAATAGAGAGGCCTTACACTCTGGAATTACTTTCTCCCACTGTTCTGACAGCACCCAAGTTTATTGATATTTAGAACATAGTGTAATTTCCTTCATTCACTGTATGAGGGAATGTAATGTGAATGTGGTGATTCAGCGGGTCACGCAACTCGTTCCAAGGCTTTGTGTATCCCTATGAGAAGATTGTGTCTGGGTGGTCACTGAGTTGATTTACCATAGGAGTTCCAGGTCCCCCGTTAAAGAGAGAGAATTAGAGGCATGTGTATGGGAGGGTGGGAGTGAGGAGTTAGACAAGGAGCAAGAGGGAGGCAATAGGGATTAGATGGGGTGGTTGTTTCAGTAGAACATGCATTATTGAGTTTTGTTGCTGCTGCAGATACAATTTTTCTTCATGCATAATTATACGTATTGGAGATATTGTATTTAAATAAAGCCTGAGGTGACCACGATTTCATTTTTCTTTAAATGTTCAGC